GGGGTACATATGCAAGATGTGCAGGGGTGTTACATAGGTAAACATGTGCCATGGTGGTTTGCTGCACCTATCAACCCATCACCTAAGTATTAAGCCCAGCATGCATTAGCTACTTTTCCTAATGCTCTCTCTCCCCCTACAGGCCCCAGTGTATTTTGTTCCCCTTCTTGTGTCCATGCCTTCTCTTTGTTCAGCTCCCATTTATAAGTGAGAATATGCTGTGTTTGGTTTTCTGCTCCTGTATTAGTTTGCTAGAAATAATGGTCTCCAGCTCCATTCATGTCCTGCAAAGGACATGATCTCATTCTTTTTTATGGCTGCATAGTGTTCCATGGTGTATCTCTACCACATTTTCTTTATCCAGTCTCTTACTGATGGGCATTTGGGTTGATTCCATGTCTTTGCAATTGTGAATAGTGCTGAAATGAACATGTGCATGCATGTATCTTTGTAATAGAATGATTTCTATTCCTTTGGATATACACCCAGTAATGGGATTGCTAGGTCAAATGGTATTTCTGTTCCTGATCTTTGAGGAATCACCACACCATTTTCCACAATGGTTGAACTAATTTACATTCCTATCAACAGTGTAAAAGTGTTCCTATTTTTCTGCAACCTCACCAGCATCTGTTATTTCTTGACTTTTTAATAATTCCATTCAGACTCTATCCATCTGATGAAGGTCTAATATCCAGAATATACAAGGAACTTAAACAAATTTACAAGAAAAACAACCTTATCAAAAAGTGGGCAAGGACATTAACAGACACTTCTCAAAAGAAGACATTCATGTGGTCAAAAAACATATGGAAAAGAAAGCTCAACATCACTGATCATTAAAGAAATACAAATTAACTAGAGATTTAACCATTCTTTTGGACAGGGACTGGCAGTGTCAAAGTTCTCCCAGGAGAGAACACAGACCACCACAGGCTAATATCACAATGAGTCACAACTATTTTGGTTTTCTAGTGCATACAAAAGTTATGTTTACATTATTCTATGGTTTAATAATTGCACTATAGCATGATGTCTAAAAAACACCGTACATACCTTAACTTAAAAATACTTTACTGCTGGCTGGGCACGGTGGCTCACGCCTGTAATCCCAGCACTTTGGGAGGCTGAGGTGGGCGGATCACGAGGTCAAGAGATCCAGACCATCCTGGTCAACATGGTGAAACCCCGTCTCTACTAAAAATACAAAAATTAGCTGGGTGTGGTGGCACGCGCCTGTAGTCCCAGCTACTCAGGAGGCTGAGGCAGGAGAATTGCTTGAACCCAGGAGGCGGAGGTTGCAGTGAGCCGAGATCGCGCCACTGCACTCCAGCCTGGAACCTGGCAATGGAGCAAGACTCTGTCTACAAAAAAAAAAAAAAAAAAAAAAAAAAAAAAATTACTGCTAAAAAAGTGTTAATGGTCATCTGAGCCTCCAGTGAGTCATAATCTTTTTGCTGGTGGAGGCTCTTCCCTCCATGTGGATGGCTGCTGACTGATAAGAGTGGTAGTTGATGAAGGTTGGAATGGCTGTGTCAATTTCTTAAAAGAGGACAAAAATGAAACTTACTGCATCAATTAACACTTTCTTTCATAAAAGATTTCTCTGTAACATCTGATGCTGTTTGATAGCATGTTACTATCAAAAGAACATCTTTCAAAATTGGAGTACATCCTCTGAAACCCTGCTACAGCTTTATTAAGTTGGTGTAATACTCAAAATCCTTTTTTGTCATTTCAACAATGTTTACAGCATCTTCCCTAGGAGTAGATTCCATATCAAGAAACCACTTTCTTTTTTCATCTTTAAGAAGCAACTCCTCAACTGTTCAAGTTTTATCACAAGATTGCAACAATTCAGTCACATGTTCAGGCTCCACTTCTAGTTTTCTTGCTATTTTTCACCACATCAGCAGTTACTTCCTCCACTGAAGTCAACTCCTCCAAGTCATCCATACAGATTGGAATCAACTTCTTCCAAATTCCAGTTAATGGTATTTTTACCTCCTCCAATGTCCCATGAATGTTCTTAATGGCACCTAGTATGGTGAATCCTTTCCAGAAGGTTTTGAATTTACTTTGCCTAGATTCATCAAAGGAATTGCTATCTATGGCATATAGCTTTATGAAATGTCTTTCTTAATAAGACTTGATTCAAAATGCTCCTTGATCCATGGGCTATAGAACGGATGTTGTGTAAGCAGGTATGAGAACAACATTCGTCTCCTTGTACCTCCTCATCAGATGCCCATCTCTTTCAGAACTCTTGGGTGACCACGTGCATTTTCAATGAGCAGTAATGTTGTGAAAGGAATCTCTTTTTTTTCCCTGAGCAGTAGGTTTCAATGCTGGGCTTAAAATATTCAATAAACCATGATATAAAAAGATGTGCTATCATCAGGGCTTTGTGGTCCAATTTATAGAGCACTAGGCAAAGTAGAGTTAGCATAATTCTTAACAACCCTAGGATATTCAGAATGGTCAATGAGCATTGGTTTCAACTTAAAATCACCAGCTAACAAGGAAGTCATCCTGTCCTTTGAAGCTTTGAAGCCAGGCATTGACTTCTCCTGTCTAGCTATCAAAGTCCTGCATGGCATCTTCCAATAGAAGGCTGTTTCATCTACCTTGAAAATCTGTTGCTTAGTGTAGCCATGTTCATCAGTTATCTTAGCTAGCTCTTCCAGCTCTTCTGGATAACTTGCTGCAGCTTCTCTATCAGCACTTGTGCTTCGCCCTGCATTTTTATGTTACAGAGATGGCTTATTTCCTCAAATCTCATGAACCAACCTCTGCTAGCTTCCAGCTGTTTTTCAGCAGCTTCCTCACCTCTCAACGTTCATAGCACTGAAGAGTTAGGACCTTGCTCTGGATTAGGCTTTGGCCTAAGGCATGTTGTAGCTGGTTTGGTCTTCTATCCAGACCACAAAAACTTTCTCCAGTCAGCAGTAGGGCTGCTTTGCTTTGTTATTATTTGTGTGTTCATTGGAATGGCCTTTACTTTCCTTCAAGAACTTGGCCTTTGCATTCACAACTTGAGTAAGAGGCATAGTTTTCAGCCTGTCTTGGCTTTCTACGTGCCTTCCTCAATAAGCTTAATCATTTCTAGCTTTTGATTGAGAGTGAGAGATGTGTGCCTCTTTTTTTCACTTGAACACTTTTTGCTGGTCCATGGTAGGGTTATTAATTGGCCTAATTTCAATATTGTTTTGTTTCAAGGAATAGGGAGGCCTGAAGAGAGGGAGGGAAATGGGGAAAGTTGGTCAGTGGAGGAGTCAGAACAAACAACAACATTCATGGATTAAGTTCGCTGTCCTATATGAGTCCAATTTGTGGCTGCCTAAAGCAGTTACAATAGTAAAATCAAAGGGCACAAACCACCAAAACATATATAACAATGACGAAAAAGTTTTTAATATTGTGAAAATTACCAAAATGTGACAAGAGAGACAGGAAACAGGCACATGATGTTGAAAAATTGCACCAATAGACTTGCTGTATACAGAGGTGCCACAAATCTCCAATTTGTAAAAAAATCCCATATTTGCAGAGCACAATAAATTGAAGCACAATAAAAGGAGTATGCTGTAGTTTTTTGAACAAGTGGTAGGCCAGGTCCTAAGACCTGTGATGAGAAAAAGAGGTTGTCCCTGGCACGCCCTCCTGGAATAGAGAAATATTAAATGAATAATGAGGAATAAATATATAGTCATGTGCCACAGAGTGATGTTTAGGTCAATAATGGACCACATATACAAGGGTGGTCCCATAAGATTAAAATGAAGCTGAAAAATTCCTATTGCTTAGTGACAGCCTAGCTGTTGTAACATCATAGTATAGTGCATTACCTTTTCTATGTTTGTTTAGATACATAAAACACTTACCATTGTGTTACAGTTGCCTAGAGTATTCAGTACAGTGACATGTTGTGCAGATTTGTAGCCTAGGAGCAACAGGCTGTACTGCTTATATAGCATAGGTGTGTAGTAGGCTGTATCATTTAGGTTTTTGTAAGTAACACTCTGTGATAATCACACAACAAATCCACCTATGATTCACCTTTCAGAATGTATCTCTGTCATTAAGTGAGGCATAAGTGCACAATGTCAGTCTGTAGTAAATATGACGAAGGAAGCAATACAGAGTGCTGTGTCTAAGATGAGGCGGTTTCTATAAAGACTTCTTTGAGGTGGTAACCTTTAGGGGTTATCTGAAAGATAAACAGGAGTTATTCAAGCATCAGGTGTTCCAAGTAGCAGGAACACGGCTCTATGGAATACAGCAAGGGTATGAGAAACGTTTGGCACTTGCAGAAATACATGAAAGCCCATGAAGTCTGATGTGAAACACTAGCACCAAGAGACCCACTTCGTATAGGATCATCTATGTTAACCTCTTTGATATGCTTCTAACCATTTGGGAGAGTGTATAGGCATAGTCCATAATCAGAAGGTCTCTAATCTGGTCATAGACACATACAGAGTTGTGAATATGGTTTGAAATATTTTTGTACCTTTTCCATCTAGTGCTTTACAATCCAGGGAGTGTACCTCCCACAGGCATTGGGGATTTCGTTGTTGTCTCTTTCACTCCCAATTCTCTTTGTCCACCCCTCTACCTTCCCCGCAGCATTCTGGCTTAAGTTTGTCAGACTCTTAAGGCTCAGGGTTCTTCAGTTTCTTCCAAGTGAAGCACCTATAACACGGACATTTCTCTTGCTAGTGCTGATGTCTCCTGTGGCATAAGCTCGATGTGTTACTGCCATGTGACCAACTTTTTTTTATGGTATCTGCCTCAAATCCACCTCCCCTAAAGAGCTGGGAGTGTACATGAGAGAAGAGAATAAAGAGTTAAAAAGTTTTGTGTTGCCATATATAAATATTTGCACTAATAGCTAGGTAGAGGGCATGAGAGACAATATGGAATAAATCCCATTAGAATAAGACCAACACTTAGTTATCTTAGTTATCTCTGCTAATGGAAAAGATAAACACGTTGGGGAAAATTTTTAAGTTTTTAATCACATAGCCATTTTTAAAAATAAGGTTCTCTTCTTGCCTTCCCACTGAGTCAAGTCTTTGCCCACAATCTTTCATTTTGTATTTGCTCTCCAGTGAAGGGCACATCCCATTGGCCAATGGAGAGTCCTAGAAGTTGTTTTTTGATCTTCTTTCCCTCACCCTTCTCTTTCAATCAACCACCAGGTCTTACCAATTACACTATGGAAGTAGTGCTGTGATCTCTCTGTATCTTCCATTCCTAGGTGCCTCTGCCCTAGTTGAGGTCACAGTTACTTATCTGGATCACTCGAACAGCCCTCCTAGGCTCCTGGTCTCCAGGCTTGCTTACCTCCAGCCTGTTTTTCAAGTTGCAGCCAGAGTGATTTCTCTAAAATGCAAAGCTGATCAACTCACTCTCCTCTTTCAACCCTTTAATGGCTTCGCATTTCCCTCAGGATGAAATAAAAACTCCTAAAAATGTCTTACAAAATCCTTAAAATCTGGCTGCTGTTAACTCTTTATTCCTATTTCTCATTACTTTCCTAGCCAAACTCTAAATTTCAACTCAACTAAATTTTCAGTTCCTTAAAAAATCCAGGCACTTGCTTTGCTGTTTTCACATACTGTGCCAGCTCCCTGGAAGTCTCTTCCCACTACAGCCCACTGTGCCCCCTCACATCACTTCTCCTTATTCCTCCCCTTTGGTCTAGCTGTATTTCCTCCAGGAAGCCATCCTGAGCCCTTAGATTTTGTTAGTTCCCCCAGGTGTCTTCCTGCTGTACTTTGCTTTTTCCCCATGTAATAACATCTGTCATACTGCCTTCCCTCTCCTCTTGAACACCCAGTACTCATTATGCCAGTACAGAAATGAATAACAAAGGGAGCAACACATTACCAATAATTCTGGTTTCATGACATTCTGATTATTTCTGCACAAATTATGTATGGGCTTTATAATACATGTGTATTTAGTTTTAAAACTTTTTCAATGAACAACTTCTTCTAAACCTCTTTATAGACAGTATTCTTTTGTTTCCATGTACAATGGATTATTTAATCCTGTTATTATTGGATATTTAGCTTGTTTCCATTTTCACATTATTTTAGATATTGTTACAGTGAATAACCTTATCCATTCAGCCTTTATAATTAACCAGTTATTTCTGGATAATAAATTTACAAAAGTAAAAGATTTGCATCAAATTATATCCCCTACCACAATGTTACTGCCTTTCCCCACCATCTTGAAAATATCCACTTTATAAATCTTCTTTCTTTTAACTTTCAACCTGATCAGCCAGATATACTTTTGGTGATTTTCCCCTACATAACTAGGAAAGTTCAGCACCTTCTTGCTTACTAGACATTTAAAAAATTAACTTTATTTGTCCAATTTTCTAAGTCAGGTCTCCTGGAAGCAGCATTTGAAATTAGGATTCTTGTGCAAATGATTTACTGAGAGTCCTCTGTAAGGGAATGGGGAAAAAACACAGCATGGCAGAAGAGGCAAAGATATGGTTTCAGGAGAAAGCCACACTCAGCCTAATCTCATGGAGTGCTCAGGAGCATAAATTGTACCACCGAGGCTAGTGGGCTGTGCTGTAATGTCCTGCATCAGTCACTGGCCATGGGCCAACCTCAGAGGAGACAAAACTTCCCAGGCATCTCCAGGTAAAGTAAAGTGACTCTCACCAGCCCAGGACAATCCTCTGGCGAAGAGTAAACATAAGTCATTAGTACCCACCATCTTTAGCACCTGTAAACCTGGGCCCACCACCCTGGGAATGGGGATCTGTGTGGATGCTAATAGCATGTCATGTTGGGTATTAAACCTTCCTGGAATATGCACTGTAAATGTTCTTTCCTAGTTGTTTGTATGTAGAGACAAATCAATCAAACTTTGTTTTCTGGCTTTGATGACCATGCTTAGCAGGTCTATTCCAATCCAAGATCATTATTTTTTTAAATTAACTTGCAGTTTCCACTAGTATTTTACAAGTTTGTAAAAAAATTTAAATCTTTAATCTCCCTTTATTTACTATAGGTGTATATTGGGTGCAAGACAGAGATTTGACTTATTTTTTTCCGTAAATAATAGCCAACACTTCAATATTCAAATTAATATAATCAAGTAAAAAATAATAAAATAGTGGGTACTTTTTTTTTTTAAAGACAAGAGTCTTGCTCTCTCACCTATGCTGGAGTGCAGTGGAATGATCTCCATTCACTGCAACCTCCACCTCCTGGGTTCAAGTCATTTTCCTGCCTCAGCCTTCTGAGTAGCTGGGTTTACAGGCATGGGCCACCACACCTGGCTAATTTCGTATTTTTAGTAGAGACAGGGTTTTCCATATTGGCCAGGTTGGTCTCAAACTCCTGACCTCAGATGATTCATTTGCTTTGGCCTCCCAAAGTGCTGGGAGGCCAAGTGTGAGCAACGGTTACAAATGTGAGCAATGGTTCCCGGCTGTAGTTGGTACATTTCATATGCTAGGCCCTGTTCTAAGTAAGCCTTCTACAAATACCTACTTAACCCTTGCAGTAATGTCACAGGGAGGGAGAACAGATGAAGTGAGGCAAAGAGAGGTTACATAATTTGCCCAAAGTCATAGCTAATGCGTACTAGCAAATTAGACTTTTAACGCATGTACTTTTTCTTTCCTCTGTGCCCTTAACTGGTATGCTGTACTGCCTCTCCCAAATAGATAACCAATCATTTCAGTATCACTTACTGAACAATCAATCCATCATTTCTTTTTATAACTAAAATGTGATCTTGGACTCCCTACTTTCACTGTTCTTTCTGAATTTCTGCACCAATTAGTTCTAATCACAGTACTAGAGTATTGCCATACTCTGCAATATTCAGCATTGTAAGTCCCTTCCATTAGGTTTTTCTCTGAGATTTCCAGTCCTCACATTTACTCTTTCAGAATACCAAGTCTAAAGACCAAATACATACATAAGAAAAAAATATATAGGCATTTTGATTTTAAATTTTGTTAACTGCATAATTTGGGGGAGAATCTGATTTACAATTTGCCTCATTCAAGAAAACAGAACATATCTCTCCATGTATTCTAGTCTTTATTTTCCCTTTATTTTCTTAACATTTTCATTAAGTTTTCTTTATAGAGGTCCTAAACATTTCTTGGTAATTTATGTCTTTGTGAATAGTGTCACCTTTTAAAATTATGTAACAGGTTATTAATCAAAACTACTGGATTTTGTGTTTTTATATGTAATTGGCCACTCTGCCAAGCTTCATCTTGGTTTGGCAGAGGTATTGTCATCCTGTAGCAATTAAATTGGTGGTTCATTCTAACAAAAGTAAGTATTAGAAGGAAACCTGCCTCTGCTATTCACTGGTGACCAGCCATCATACCCTACTATTGTGAACGATGGCATAAACATGTATTAATAGAACGCAGGCACGACTGCAAACACATACTACACAATGTATAGTAAATGGACAGAAGCTGAAAGGTACCTATATTTCTACTGTTTTCCCCATTTACTTCATGAGTTTTCCAAGACAGTCATAACTACAAATAATTCTACCTCCTTTCTATAGTACAAAAATCTTATTCTATCTGGGGCAATGATAGCTAGTACATCACTAATTCATAAATTAAGGTGGGACATCATAAAAAATTAAACATATATCCTGTTAAGCATTTTGAGCTTAAAACAGATAAATGTATACTCAGGTACCAATCTTTTAAATAAGGGTCAAAGCCTGTTCTTGGGAGTATGGATACACTGATGAGAGATCCAAAGTTGTCTTTCTTGAATTCTAGTCCCTTTAAAGCAGAAAAGGAACTTGACATTAGTGAAGCAATCCGCAAGTTTTTACTAATCACCCCCAAATCTTGTTATCCTTCTCACACCTAATTTGACAGCAGTTCTTTGTAATGACTTATCTTTTCCAAACATTTCCAAAGTGTTGACTTAGTTTTCCTGGCAATTCTATATTTGCCCCCAATAGTTCATCGATTTTCATATTTTAAAAATTAATCTACATAAAATGCTAAATACAGCTGGCATAAACAGATTTGTGAATAAACCCAGCTGACTTTTGGTGAACTTAAGTGGGGTGAAGGTAAAAGCAAACTGGCACACAGGAAGTGGCAGACTTTCGGTGTGTGGGCTCAGCAGCAGCAGCCTCAGTTTTACAGAAGGAATGGGTAGGCTGATCCATCAAATTGGCCAAGTGGTAGTCAAAAATGCTTTTGGAGCCATCACACGTAACATACACAAAAAATAGACACTACGAACATATCTATGTATGCATACAATATTCTTCTACTTAAATTTTGCCAAGGGTTTTTATTGTTGTCATTTTAAAAATCAGGAGTGAGACAGAGACCATCCTGGCCAACATGGTAAAACCCCGTCTCTACTAAAAATACACAAATTAGCTGGGTGTGGTGGCATGCACCTGTAGTCCCCGATACAGGGGAGGCTGAGGCAGGAGAATTGCCTGAACCCAGGAGGCGGAGGTTGCAGTGAGCCGAGATTGTGCCACTGTACTCCACCCTGGCGCCTGGCAACAGAGCGAGACTGTCTCAAAAAAAAAAAAAAAAAAAAAAAATCAGGAGTGGATTTTAAACTTTATTAAATGTCTTTTTGGCATCTATTAAGAACATTCTGATTTTTCTCTTTTGACCTATTAATATGCAAAAGGATACTGCATTAAAAAGAACTAGAAGGCTGAGTATGGTGGTTCATGGCTGTGCCTGTAATCCCAGCACTTTGGGAGGCTGAGGCACAGACTGCTTGAGTACAAGAGTTTGAGACCAACTTGGACATGGCAAAACCCCATTTCTACAAAAAAATACAAAAATTAGCCGAGATGTGGTAGTGTATGCTTGTGGTCCCAGTTACTCGGGAGGTTGAGCTGGTAGAATGGCTTGTTGACACTTCAGGCCAGGTGAGAGAGTGATACCCTGTTTCATCAACAACAACAAAGAATCAATCTCACAAAAAAAGGAATAAATGATGTACTCTGTTTTAATGTTTTTAAATCAATATTTTATCTAAACATCTATATTCATTGGTGAGGTTATAAAGTTTTCTCTTTTTAAAATTATATTTTGTCCAACTTGCAGAACAGTTTTCTTTCTCTTGTTTAAAAGTTTCTTATTCAGTTATACCTCTGGTTCTACTCCACTGTGTTTTAGAGCCCTTACATTAATATTACATAAATGCAGACATGTGCAAATAAAGCTACTTGTACTTAACACGATCCTGTTATAAAAATAAATTATTTCCAAAGCTGATTGAGTCCAATGCTTTGCTATTTTAATGCAGCTATTAGGAAAATCAATATTAGGTTTTTAGGGGTTTCTAACTAAAAGTAAGGAATCCTATTTCAAAGACCTCATGGAGGTATGAAGCAGTGAAGTAAGAGTCCAAGTGTAATTTTACATGTGTATCCTCTCTACTTCTACAAACTACAGCAATTCCTTTTAGGAAAAAAAAATGTTGATTTGGTGAATACATGAGAGAGAAGCTTAAAACATCAACTAAAAGTCACTTCTTCAATATAAGTTTGAATATCTTCAAAATAACTACCATTTGACTATGAACAAGTAATTTTTGAGAGAAGCTCTTAAAATATTCAAACATCTGGCTACACTGGTGGTCCATGTAATCCCAACACTTTAGGAGGCCAAAGTGGGAGAATGGCTTGACCCTAGGAGATTGAGACCAGCCTTGGGAGCATAGTGAGACCATGTCTCTACAGAGAAAAAGAAAAAAAGCCAGGTGTGGTAGTGTGCACCTGTAGTTCCAGCTACTTGAGAGGCTGAAGAGGGAGGATCACTTGAGCTCAGGCTTGAGGTTCCAGTGAGCTGTGATTATGCCACTGTACTCCACTCTGAGCAACAAAGCAAAACCCTATCTCAAAAACAAAACAAAACAAAAATACCCGAAACATCTTATTCAAGTGTATCTGCTGTTATCACTTACATAAAGGAGAAATAAATAAAGTCTTTCTCTCTTAAAGTACATCTAAATTCATTAAGCTGGCAGTCTTTTGAAAAAAATGCTTCACTAGGTTTTGTTTGTTGTTTTAATGGATTGGAAGTAAAACTGTTCTTAGAGACTATTGATTTCTAGCTCCAAATGAAAACAGTAAATCACACAAAGGTTTTCTCTTTGTTGTGGCCGATGAAGTATAAAAGGGAAGAAGGGACTGCTGACAGAGACTGGGGCATTCTTTTCAGCCCTCACACTTGGCTTTCTTGGGAGCTGGAAGACAATCTTCATCCCCTTCTAATAGCCGAGGTTTCTTCACTGTAGAAATAATTCCAAAAGCAGTTTTTCTAGTGTCTGTAAAACCAACAGGAAAACCATTGTGCTTGAAGTTAGGACATTTAAAAAGAGGTGGTTTAACATATGACTTTGGCTTACAGTAGTAGTAAATGATAAGCCATAATGAACTGTTACGGGTGCTAGTGTCATTTAGTATCATCTTTTTTCCCCAACATAAATAAACATCAGTATATTATTAACATATAATTTATTCCTAAAGATTACCTCATGCATAAAACTGCAGGACAGTGTTATGTCTAATGGTCCGTCCATGACATCTTATGTAACCAGAACCCAAGTCATAGATATTGGTGTAGCAGATGCTTTATATATGGTAGACAGACAAGTCAAGAGAGGAGACACAGCAGTCGAGTGTATGGCTCCCACGTGGAGCACATGCTTGTCTTGTTTTACAGCATGTACCCTATCTCTCTATTAGAACATCAAGGTACCTCTGAAAGAATCAATTGCATTGTATTGTGAACACCCCACAATGGCCTGGTTATGCAAAAGGTGTTCAATAAATACTAGTTGAGTTAATGAATAAAATCAAACTCATAAATTTATTGATCTCTTATCTAACTGGTGACAATGAACAAAGAATAACTGGGAATTATTAGATACTTAGATTAGGTTGGCAGCAGAATTCAACTTAAATTTAACTTCTAGAAACCTACTAATAGGTTAGGCAAACTGTCCATATACACAGGGTATTAAGATGTCTAACAGACAGTGCTTTTCCCTATAATACATGCATGTGAGAAGCACAGTAAGAGCAAATATAATAGGAATGGAGGCAGTCACAAGAATTAACTGCCTGGGTAAAGCAACGAGGTATTCATATAAAGGAGACACTACTTGGAATAAGGTAAATGGAATAAGAAAAGGAGAAGTATTCCTTTGCAAAGGCATGGACAGAAAGGTAAGAAGAACCTAGATAAGATAGTTTAGGGGACAATAAGGCTGGTATGAAGGAGGAATATGAAAAAATTAGGAGGAAATCAGGCTGAAGAATAGCTTATGAAAGGCCACAGTGTCATGAAAAGAGACTCAAACTCTGTCCTTAGAAATGGAATGGGATTATGAAGGAGGGAGATACTCATTAGCTACAAAGGAGGCAGAATCAAAAGAACTTGAACAGAAATTTAGTTAAGAATTACTCAGCCGGGCGCAGTGACTCAAGCCTGTCATCCCAGCACTTTGGGAGGCTGAGGCGGGTGGATCACGAGGTCAACAGATCGAGACCATCCTGGTCAACATGGTGAAACCCCGTCTCTACTAAAAATACAAAGAATTAGCTGGGCATAGTGGCGCGTGCCTGTAATCCCAGCTACTCAGGAGGCTGAGGCAGGAGAATTGCCTGAACCCAGGAGGCGGAGGTTGCGGTGAGCCGAGGTCGTGCCATTGCACTCCAGCCCGGGTAACAAGAGCGAAACTCCGTCTCAAAAAAAAAAGGTTTCCAAAAAAAAAAGAATTATTTCTTGGCCATCACGGGGCTCAAGCCTGTAATCCCAGCACTTTGGGAGGCCAAGGCGGGTGGATCACGAGGTCAAGAGATCGAGACCATCCTGGCCAACACGGTGAAACCCCATCTCTAATTAAAAAAAAAAAAAAAAAATTAGCTGGGCATGGTGGCATGGGCCTGTAGTCCCAGCTACCTGGGAGGCTGAGGCAGGAGAACTGCTTGAACCTGGCGAAGGTTGCAGTGAGCCGAGATCGTGCCACTGCACTCTAGTCTGGCACCTGATGACAGAGTGAGACTCTGTCCCCCCCACCAAAAAAAAATACAAGTAAAGTCAACTCTAAAGGGTTAAGCATTATTTTCCCATTTATCAAGATTAACTTAGCAAATCTACTTTGCCAATTATTTTGAAACAGTTTTATTTATAAAAGGGATAAAACTGCTTTCAAGGTCATTAAAATGACAACATAATGAGAACCTCAAAATAAAAACTGTCAATGATTTCCATTTCACCAAATGAAAAATGTCACACTTATAGCTATTAATTTATATCACTAATTCTGTACACAGTATAAAAAATCAACTGAAATAAACATTGTGAAAATCAGCACTTTTTAACAAAATGCATTAATTTATTTAGTGTCTTTTAAAAACAAATGTATTTCTCGGTAAGAGCAAGAAGTTACATTTGTGCATGCTTTTGTTTATAAAATGTTTTCACATATATTATTCCCTTTAATCATCTTGCCAATGAAAATCTAAAAGATTATAACTTTGTTCACAAGGGGCTAAGGCAGGAGTCCCCAACAGGTTCATTTTGGTCCAGGGGCTGCTTACGGGCATAAACTTTGTCAATCATAGGCCAAAGATTCTGACCTTGAGCCTCTTTCTTCTGTCCTTTCCCCACAACCTCCCCAGAATTGCTACTCATTAGTTTCTGGATTTCTGGACCCCCAAAGAACCTAATTCTGATTCCCTGTGGCAAGCCTTCCAATGTTGAAAGGCCACTACTATGTGTCCCAAGTCTTCTCCTTGCCAGGTATCCATGCCTGCACCACCCTCATGATTCCTCTCATCATGAGGTTTCCAGACTCTTTAAGGACCTAGTAGACATTTTCCAATAGTGTTTCAGTGCACTACCATCCTTCTTAAATGTGGCACTCAGAATGACACAGATGCCAGATGAGATTTCATCAATGAGAGTATAATAATGAGACTTTAAATTCCCTTGCCTCAGAATCCTTTATTTCTTCTAATGTTACCCAAGCTGAATTAGCAATCTTAAGAACACATCATAATACTGTCTCATAGTGATCCTGATGGTAACTAAAACCAGAGTCACCATATTTTATCATCTAGTTTAGGTCACTTTTCAGGTAATAGAAGTGCTAATAAGGTTACAGAAATGGCAGACATAAACTAGAACTGTCCTGGGCACATTGGGGTACATGGTAATGCCACCTGAAATTCACAAGTCTTCTTTAAGTTTAGCTTCTATAAAAGCCTGATTTTAGACACAGAAAGACAAATATCGCATGTTCTCACTCGTTTGTGGGGTCTAAAAATCAAAGCAACTGAACTCCCAGAGATAGAAAGTAAAAGGATGGTTACCAGAAGATGGGAAGGGTAGTGGGGGGCTGAGGGGGAGGTGAAGATGGTTAATGGGTACAAAAAAATAGAATGAACAAGACCTAGTATATGATAGCACAATAGGGTGACCATAGTCAATATAATTTAATCGTATATTCAAAAATAACTAAAAAAGTATAATTGGATTGCTTGAGGAAATAGACACCCCATTTTCCATGATGTGATTATTGTGCATTGAATAGCTATAACAAAATACTGCAGTACCCCATATATACATACTATGTACCCATAAAAATATAGAAATTCTAAAAAAAAAATACTTTACATATTATATGCTGAATAGCTGAGTTTTTAAAGTCAAATGCAGGACTATACACACACACACACACACACACAATTATATATGTATTTATATTTTGGTTTCTGTATCTTGTTTAGCCCCATTTTTGGAACCCTAAGTGTTATTCAAAAAATCTTGATAATTGTTTATTTAAAACAGATAAAAAATGACAGAATTACCAAAGTGTGAACCAACTGTTCCCCAATTTCAGGAAAATCATAATAAAAAATCTCAATTATTTTGATCACTCCCAGAGCTTATATGATGAGTTCTAGGCTACATAATACAAAAATCTCAATCTAAAAATGTTGAAACTAAAAGCAAAATCATCTAACTTATGGTAAGCCAATATAATAAGTAGTTCTCTCAAGTGGAAATCAGATCAATAAAGTCCAGACACAACACACAAGTCCTCAATAACCAAGCTATTCATATGACAAATAACTTAGTCTATATGCAGCAATCTATTCTGAAGTTTAATGTTCATTTGGGTGATATCAACTAAATTGCTTCTTAACCACTATGACTAGTTCTAAGAATTATAAAGATAATGAAGACAAAACAGTGAACAAAAGCTTAAGTTGTTTTAATAAAATTTCATTTTCATTTTCCAAAGTGTCAGCATACTTTCAATTTTTATCATCTGATGAATAAGAAATTCAATCAGTGAAGAGGTACATATACAAAACCTGAGTTAAAAAAATACAGTCTGGCTGGACATAGTGGCTCATGACTGTAATCCTAGTACTTTGGGAGGCTGAGGTAGGAGGATTGCTCGAGCCCAGGAGTTCAAGACCAGCCTAGGCAACATAGTGAGACCCTGTCTCTATTTAAAAAAAGAAGAAAAAAAAGGTAGAGTTTGTACACACTTGACCATGTAAGCAAACATGGGAAAAGAAACATTCTGAGTTTTAATAAATGTAAAAGTTACAGTCTATGTTTTATTAGTCGGTTTAAAAATGTATTTGCTGTTTTTGTTTTCCTAATAGTTTAACATATTTTTTTTTAACATATCAGTTCTCTAAAATAGAGATTTTCAACAGGGAAAGAATGCCCCTTCAGCAAGAAAGAAGAAGGAAGGGAGATTAGAAGACTATCAAAATCTGGGCAGGAGCACACATGTATAGCTGGGAGAAACTTTTCATACTCATTTCTGTAATGAAAGCTCTATTCATTCTAAAAACGATAGAAAGTAAAGCCTTAAGCGAGGGTGAGAAAACACTGATGGTATGGTTACAACAGGTTGAGAAAAGATAACCCCAAAGGAACTCTGCAGGGTAGAACAATACAAATAGGTATGGCTTAACTGTTTGATAAAAATGACTTGCTTCTAAAATGACCATTCAGTTTTTACTGGAAGAACTTGCTTACCTCCGTGGAGAAGTGCTGCTCGGCAGTTGGTGGACACTGCAGCCTTGGCATCACTTTCAGAAAGCCCAAACAGCAAGCCTCTTGGGGGAGCATTAAAGATTTCAACCCAGAGTCAACCAAGGACATGAGACTAACACAAACATAACTCAAAGTGCCAGCTAACCTGGTCACGTTGAGAGGCTAATTAATTCAACAGCAGTTCTTAGTCCAACTGGAACATGCATCTGAGAAAAGACTTTAAGCTTTTATTATAGGAAGTCCCTCATTCTCTCTTTTCTATCTCAGGATTAATTAAAAAAACAGAAGCATAAATCTCTCTATAACATTATATAATTTATTTTTGAAGCTATCAGTTGGTAAACTTACAGTAAAAGGTTGAGAAAAATACCATGTTAAACTATAATACGACTTCAAATTCAAAATTTCCTGAAAGACAATGTCAACAAATTTTTACTCAGAAAAGGATACAGGTTTGCCACATCATATGGCCCTCTTATTTCTAAAGGCTGAAATAAAATGAACAAAAAGTAGAGATGAGAAAATTATAACATTTCAATGACTTATAGCAAATTAACAGAATACTTAAATATCCAAAACCAAAAAAATTAATTTAAGTCCTTATAATTTTGATGGTTTTTTTTTTTTTTTTTTGAGATGGAGTTTTGCTCTTGTTACCCATGCTGGAGTGCAATGGCGCGATCTCAGCTCACCGCAACCTCTGCCTCCTGGGTTCAGGCAATTCCCCTGCCTCAGCCTCCTGAGTAGCTTGGATTACAGGCACACGCCACCGTGCCTAGCTAATTTTTTGTATTTTTAGTAGAGACGGGGTTTCACCATGCTGACCAGGATGGTCTCGATCTCTTGACTTTGTGATCCACCTGCCTCGGCCTCTCAAAGTGCTGGGATTACAGGTGTGAGCCACTGCTCCCGGCCAATTTTGATGGGTTTTATAGTTTTTGAAAATATAATAGAAACCTGAAAAGCACTTTGTAGCAATATAATAGAAAAACTAATTATATAAACAGAAGTTAAAACCTAAAGAAAATGGGGATAAATTTTACTGTTTAGCAATTACAATGAGCAAATGTAATTAAAATAGAAAAAAAAGCAACAAATATTCATTTGCTATTTTAATTTATCCCCTAGAAACTGCAGTTTTAAAACCTGAAAGATGAAAACAAAGTACTTCATGCTAGACTTACCCTTTCTGCAGCACTAGATATAATTACATTCTACAAAATAGAAAGTAATTAATATTAATCTTAGATAAATGCAAAAAAAGGAACCAGTTTCGTAATATAAATAGCCAGTAATCACATTTTAACATTTAAGGCACAAATACCAACTTCTTTTAAAGATAAGGTACATAATTAAAGTGAAAAAAACGAAAGACTTTATGTTGAACTAAAGGCAATCTGTAACCGAAAACAGAGTATGTTTTCCTAACAGATCTCAGTAAAGATGAATTAAGTTTAAAAAACAAGATGAGAAGGTCACATAATCTTAATTCAATTCAGTGATGCCAACGATTGTTATTCTAGACTTTTCTTTCACAGTATATAAATTGCAAATTTTATCAAAAGATATGGCTTCCAACACAACTTTTTCTCCCTTACATTATTCTTTTCTTGGTATTTTTCTTTCCCTTAAAACTTGCAGAGCTCACTGAAACGGGAGAATTTGATCCTATGCCTTGAGAACATTCTGCTTTAAGGAAAAGGAGTCAGTTTGACAATTAGAGTGTACTACTAATAATAAACTGCCAGATGCAAAAAACATCCTAAAATTATAGAACCATACCTTTCCTTTGCAGATTTGCATCAAATTGAGGGCATTGGAAATTGTATACCTTCTCATTGTGGAGTCTTTGATAGCAGGGCTATAGACAAGTTCAAAAGCCAGGCCTCGGTCAATTGCCTTCACAGCAAATAAAACAAACTGTCAGATACAAACATGCACTGGACTACATTTTCACTGATTCTCTCTTCACCGCCTTCCTCACTCCCCACCACCCACCTCTTACATGTCAAGGTACAGCTTTATGAAAGACAGATTAACACTCAAATGGCAGTACCCACAAGGAGAATAAAATAAGTCCATGGCTCTACTTGAATAAGAATTTATCTTAGCTGTGGAAAAGCTTACTTTACATAAACAGGAATTATGAAGAGGCTAAGGAGAACAAAGCCCCAGTGGGGTGGCAGAGGGGCTATTACTCCATGAACTATCAAAAGGAAGACAGAGATGTACTCCCTACATTTAAACTCATTTAAACTGTATACGAATATAGTAAACCAAGTAATCTGACCCACGAATGCACAAAGAGAAAAAGAAATAAAGAGCCCAAAGAACCAAGGGTGGGAAGGCCTTTCAGGTAAATAATTTATTACCTATATGTTGAAGAGAGAATAATAGCCATAGTTAATTGAGTGCTGACTATATGCCAAGAGTCTTATGTATAATATTTAATCCTTACTACAATAACTTTGTAAAGCATTACTGCAAAGACTACTAATTGGCCAGATATTTGTCCTCTCATTTTTCTTTAGTAATAAAGCTCCTAATTTTTAGGTGGGTTCACAGGTGCCCAGCAAAAAAGATGAAAGTGCCCTTGAAGATTTTGCCCAGCTCATCATACAAGCTTGGTTTTTTGTTTTGTTTTGTTTTAAAAAAAAATTTTTAACTCCAGCACCATCCATTTTCAAGGCTACTTGATTCAGCAGGTGAGTTGTTACACACTCCTTAGCGGATTCCGACTTCCATGGCCACCATCCTAAGCTTGGTTTTTTTAATGAGAAAAGGAAACTTCTTTCTTATTTAATGTACTCTTACTACATAGTGATCCACAGGTAAATGGACGAGTGGAAATGAGATTGAAATAACCACTGTACTATTCAGCTTTCCTAATGAACACCTAAATGTCTTCATCCATTCACAAAAGTTATGTTTTAAGCCCACTATGTACAAAAGCTGAGACAGTTCCTCCCTTCTAAAAGCTTACATTTTATTTGGGGAGATGATCAATAACCATAGAGAAATACAAAATTTGAACTGTAATAAGTGCTATCAAGGAGAAGTTTAGGCGGGGGTGAGGAAGAAATTGAGTAGTTAAATAGTAGAGAAAGGTGCATTTTCTTTCAGAGGGAGGGAAGAGCATGTGAAAGGCCTCAAGGTCGCATCATGGCAACAGGTAGGAAAGGTCAATGGCTAGAGAAAAATAATGAGGAAGACAAGCTAAAGAAGATGGGAATGGCCAACTGTGCAGGCCGTTAGAACTGGTGACAAGGATCATTCCTAATCATTCCTAATGGAGAAACATCTGAAGGATTTTCAGCATAGAGATGATAATCAGACTCAATTGCAAAAGTCACTTAGGTGGCAGTATTCTTCTGAATGAATAAAGAAAGAATGGTAGGCATGCTCTAGGCAGTATGGCCCAAGTCTCTTCTTGGCAAATTAGTTTCGATTACCCAGAGTATGAATTGAGACTGGCCCAGCTGTGACTACTGGATTTACTCCCGAGCATTTACAGGAAATGGAGAAACTTGTCTTTTTCTAGAACTGGCAGTCCACCTTGATTTAATTCGGTTGTACTTTGAAAGCCCCTTCTTCTGTTCCTTCCTGAACACAGATTTCCTTAACTCTTCCTCTGGCTTTAAGGCTCCCAGATTTTATTTTAGATTTTCCTGTATTTCTGATGCTAGTTTAGTTAGAATTTAAATCCTATTTTCCACACTGCAACCTTACCCTCTCTCATTTTTTGACCTTTCCCCATCTCTAATTCTTTTATCTGTGTCAATTATTTCTGGGAATGACATTTATTAAGATAATCTTTCTGTCATAGTTGAACCTGTATCTCATTCTCTCTGCCAAGCTTGTATACTTCTTGAGAGTTAGACTGCCTTTTACATAAAAGGTGTGTAATATATTTATATTTTGAGTGAATAAATAGTAGCTTATGGAGAAGATGTCTTGTGATAATGTTGTTCATTATGGATTATTCATCAGAAAATGAACCTCAATGTACTTGGCTAACCAAAAGCCACAGATAAACAAAAACATCCCTTTACCCCTAATATCCGCTATCTCCTTGGCTATATCTTTTACCAAAACTACTAATTAGCTGAAGAGGCTGACCTGTATTTCTTTTCATTATCTTTCTAGTTGTAGAACTATAACACAAGGCAATAGGATGAAGAAGAGGGGAAACAAATGAAAGAGGTAAATGATATACAGAGTTTGATGATTAGATCTCAAAACTTTGACTGAATCTAACTTTCTAGACCCTTGTGAGGACCAAATCAAAATAAAACCAACTTTTGCAGGGGGAGGGGAGAAAAAAAGGATATTATCAGCATAATAATTTTTTAAGAAAAAGGTTCTGATTTTCATCTTGGTATATTAATCGAGTTCACTTTAAAACTACTAGAAGAACTCTTGAAAAACGAAAAATAATGTGCTATTGAAGGTTGTGAATATTTCTTTCACAGCACCTTATTTTAAATTTTTAGATGGATAAAATAGAGACTCATTACCTGGGATCTTGCTGTAAGATCATTTTAATGCAAATTGCTTTAAGCTCATCAAATGATTGTTCATAACAGCCTCTTCCTAACAGTGCCTGATTAGCTTTTGTTCCCATGTCTGACCAAAGGTTCTGGCATGGGTGGATGATCAGATTTCTTTACTAATGAGAAATAACAGTCATAAAGATGCTACTAAGGACAGGTGTGCGATACTTGAATCAGGAGACATTGGCAATAAAATTCCAAGTATTAAGCAAAGCCTTAGAGAAAAGAAGAGAAGAAAATAAGGAGCTGATTACTGGGACAATGTACTGATTCTCTGTTACTGTCATAAAAATTAGTTCTTTATTCAATTCAAATGAATGACACCCTTTCAGTATTCAAGATAGGTAATTTGACCACATGATTCACAAAGCATAAGAAAGAATATAAGAAAACAATCAAAAATACTATTTGCATCTCTGATCCTGTGTACCCTATCTTCCTCCAATAATCACTTTTATTAATTTCTTGTGTCTTCTTTCAGAGTTTCTTCATAAAACTACAAGCAAATATGAATAGATACTATTTTTCTTTCTTATCCAAAAGGTAGTCTGCTACATTCTTGTCACCTCATAACTTCCTGTTTCATAGTTTCACAGTATTATGTTATAGAGGTATAGCATGTATTTAACCAAATCTCTACTGATAAACTTTGGATTGTTTCAGTGTATCTGCAGAGTAACCTAAATTGGGATTGCTAGGCACAATGGATCGAATTGTGTCCTCATCCACAAAAGATATGTTGAAACCCTAAATCTCAGTACCTCAGAATGTAATCTTGTATTTGGAAATAGGGTCACTGTAAATGTAATTAGTGAAGATGAAGTAAGATTGGAATAGGGTAGGCCCCTCATCCAATATGACTGGTGTCCTTATAAGATGATGGTCATGTGATGACACAGAGACAAACAGAGATAACGAAGACAAAAGCAGAGACTGGAGTTATGTAGCTGCAAGCCCAGGATTTTAAAGATTGCCAGAAAATCACCGAAAGGTAACAAAAGGCAAGGAAGGTGGCCCTACAGAGTTCAGAGGGAACAAGACTGCTGACACCTTGATTGCAGACTTCTAGGATTCAGAAATGTGAGATCATACAGTTTAAAACTGTTCTTTAAATCAGTACATGTATTTATAATTTGAGTAGTTGTGGCCAAATTACCCACCCTCCTCAAAGGGATTGTTCCAATTTACACTGTTACCAGCAAAGTATGAGAATGTCTGCTTTCCTGCAGCCTTCTAACAGAGTGTATTTCTAATCACATAGGTGATTTTAATGTGGAACCACGTATTATGATAAATTTAATAATCTTTTCATATGTTTAAGGCCTGTTCGTATTTCCTTTCCTGTGAAATGGCTCATATACTTAATCCATTTTTTGTATTGTTCATCTTTTTTTTTTAACATCAATTTCTAGGTACTCTTTACTCTTTATGTGTTAAGGGGATAAACACCTTGTCTATGACATGAGTGAAAATATTTCCATCAGTTTGTCATCTTTTCTCTTTGTTTCTGGTGACTTTTCTTTTGCTGTCACAGAAATTTTTAATACTGGCACAGTTTGCTGACACTGATGCAAGCACTGAATGGACACAGTACTTAACACATTAGATTCACATGTGATAAAACATAAAGTTTACAGAATACTCACATCAAAATCAAGTATTTACAGCATGATTCCTAGAACTAACTCACTGCTTTAGGCATTACTTAATAAAAATCTCTCAGTGAAGAGTAATCAGACCATGAAAATGAAATGGATTAGGGTTAAAGGAAAGACTGAGGAAAAAACATCGGAGATAGTATAAAACATACAAGATTGGGGGGAAGGATTCAAGATGGCGCAGTAAGAACAACTCAGGATCACAGCTCTCAGTGAATGCTCAGAGGCTGCTACAGGTGTACCCCAGACAAGCAGGACCTGGAGTGGACCTCAGCAGTCGTACAGTGGAGGGGTTGGACTAGTAGAAGGAAAACCAAGTAACAGAAATACCTCATCATCAACAATCTGGGCGTCCACTCAGAGACCCAATCGAAAAGTCAGCAACTACTCAGACAACAGGTCGATAAATCCACAAAGATGGGGAGAAACCAGTGCAAAAAGGAGGAAAACACCCGAAACCAGAACACCTCTCCTCCTACAAAGGAACAAAACTCCTCACCAGCAAGGGAACAAAGCTGGACAGAGAATGACTGTGACGAAATGAAGAACCAGACTTCAGAAGGTGGGTAATGAGAAACTTCTGTGAGCTAAAAGAACATGTTCTGAAACAATGCAAAGAAACTAAGACCCTTGAAAAAAGATTTGAAAAGATATTCGAGGAAATGATAACAAGAATGGATAACTTAGA